TGAAGTCTCAACAGAAATTCTTCGTTAGTTTAGTCCCTGAAAGCATTAGTTCCATCTCCAATCCTGGCTCATTTGTTTTTATTGCAGAATAATATTCTATTGTATAGGTATGCTGCAGGGTTTTTTTTGTTTGTTTTTGTTTTTGTTTTTTAATTCAGTCATCCTTCATTGATTGCCAGGCATTTTGGTTGGCAATTATGAAAAGAGTTGCTGGAAACACCTGTGTGTAGATTGTTATGTAAAACTATTGCATTTTCCATGTCTTTGTGTTTCGGATCTTTCTTTTGCCTGAAATATCTCCCCAACCTCCTTACCTACTTTCTAAATTCATTTTCACGAATTGAATCCAATTTAACAAATATTTATTGAATAAATTCTACATATCAGATATTTAAATTTTTAGAAAACAATTGGTACTTGATAAACATAATCTATTTGAAGAAATGGACAATTAAAATGTAGTTATAGGGACCAGGAGGTGGCACGGTGCTTAAGGTGTTGTACTCCTACGGGGCCAACCCCAGTACAAGTCCTGGTTCTGGCATCTTGCTTTCTCACAGTCTCTCTGTCTCTCGCTGGTGAGTGCACATGCCCTATAGCAGATTTAAAAATAATAATAATAGTAGTAAATAAAATTAATCAAATACTTATTTTTAAAAAATGCAATTATAAGGGAATGTTAACACTATGATGCAGGTACAACTTAAAAGGAGTTCCTAATCCAGCTCTGGAGGTTGAGGGTGACTTTCCAAAGAAATTTTACTCATCCTTCAGGGCCCAAATCCAAATATGTGTTTCTGAATGAAACCCTCAGAATTGCCATGTGCTCTCTTTCAGCCAGAATATACCCTTCTTTTCTTTCTTTGTGCCCCATTATTATTTAATTCATAACTCTTTAAGGGTACTTATTACAATCTATTCCGTTTTCATTTGGTAAGGGTATATGGCATTTTCCTATTACATTGACAGTTTGCTAAATTCATAAAGAACTTATTTCTTCTTATGTATCTAGACCTAGGCTAGTGTACGTATAATGATCAGTAATGTTTGTTAAATTAAGTTTATCTGAAGACCCATGAGACTGTGTAGGAGAGTGGTTATGAGACAGGTTTTGCTGTTCACTCATGACCCTACTGGAGTTCTGTTCTGCTGTTCCTCTGATGTAAGACCGCAGCATATGAATCTTTGAGTCTCTCAGCCTTGAAACAGTGAAGACAGCTGTGAAGATCAAATGAGACTACACTTCAAAGCTGTTCACACTCCTGCCAGTCAGAGACAACTGAGTGAGAGGTCTTGTTTTTCTGAGTCCCAGAGCTCCTGGTATGGGGCTCCCTCCGGATATGGTGTGTAATGAACAAACGAGCCTATGAATTTGAAGTATTTTCTTTATCTCTCAAGTCAGTAGTGCTATGGCATTCTCACAGCAAAGCTGCATTTAAACTTTTTTTCTCATATACTTTGAGGGGGCTTTCTTCTGAATCTGCCTAGAGGAAGACCTCCTACTTAAAGGTATGAAAGTGAGCCCTTTGAAACCAAACATAAAGAGTTATAAAGAGATTCAAATAAAAATTAAATAGGCAAAGAAATTGTCCTGTTAAGTCAGAACACAGAACTTATAAGATAGCCTAGTTTTCAGAAAGATGAATTCTGAGGTTATTTTCATAATGTTATATTTTGTAATGTAATTATCAAATGAGAGGATAGATACCATTTTTTTCCCTTTAAAAACTGTTTTGTTTATATTCTTAGTCAAGGTTTGAGAACTACATTCTCATATTTTCTTCCTCATATATCTCCATTTTCTGTGTTGCTGATATTCTGATGATTCTTTTCCCCAAACCATGTCAATTATGTTTTTATCTGGAGTTGAACATAAAAGTGAAATAGGGCCTTTTTATTGATTAGTGTATGGAGTGTTCGAAAGGTTCAGAGTTTATGAAAGGATACGTTCCACACAATCACCTAAGAACATTCATTCTTTAGATCCCCCATCAATAAGGTACTGAATGAATATTTCCATAAGTTAGTGAGATTACTTAGTGGATAAATCTGATTTTTCAAACCTATAAACAAGGGTACTTCAAAAAGTTTGTGGAAAATAGAATTAAAGTGCAAATTTACTTTGATGCAAAAGTTTTTAAATCCATGCATAGTTTTTTTTTTTTTCATAATGCATGCTTTTCACTAATTTCTTTTCTTGTTTTAAGTTTTTTCTATAGGGAGGTTGCACTCACTAGAGAGATCTAGATACCCTAAGAGAGAGAAGGGAAAATCGAGAAATCACCCCATGGAGCATAGCCACTCTCTCTCTCCTCTCCTCCATTCACCTCTTGGGATTTTTTGGCATGCTTGCACATGTTCCTGGTGTGATTCTCAAGCTTCCAGGTCTGGGACTCAAACCATTCAGTCAGCCATATGGGTTTCATTGCCTTAACCTCCATGGCACCTACTGGCCCAGTTTTTCATAAACTTTTTAAAGACTGTTTGTATGAGTCTCTAAAAATAAAGCAAAACAAAACAAAGGCCAAACAGACAGATGAGCAAAATCACAACATGCTATTCCCTCCAGTCACATTCGCAGGAACCCTACCTGTACATGTGTACTGTCTGTAAACCCAGAACATGCGCTCAACCTGTTTGGCACCCTGTTCTAACATGATGGAAACAAACAAACAAACAAAACTAACAGAAGAAAGGACACAGTTCATAAAGCAGAATAGTTTTGAAAATTTAATTTCTTCGTTGAGTGGAGAATAGTTATTATATCCCCAAAATAGATATAGGACTCATAAAAGAGAAGTATTTAAGGAACAAGAATTCTTGGATACTAAATGGATAATAGTAAAACAAAACATTATAATAAAAATAACAAAAATAGAAGCTTTGAGAACAAATTTGAAGCTATTCAGAGAAAATAGTGCAAAAAGGCAAGGAAATGAAAAATATGAAGTCCAGATTTTAAAATGGAGAATTGGTACAGCCATACAAATACTTGTACCCTCAAGCATCTTTCCTAGGAAGCTACTGCAGATGTTGTTTTACAAAACAAGGAACCGAATCAAGAGAGGAATATATGGAATCTGGGAAATGAAAAATCTCAATATAGGTGGGATGTGGAGGTAATTCTGTGAATAAAGCCAAAGGGTAATCCTAGCACACATAAATGCTTCAGACCTTTGGAGAAACAGTCCTCCTAGAATCAGTACAGAGGCTTCGAAATAGACTTTCTAAGAAAAAAACATTGTGCTAAGATACAAATTAGATATTTTGAGAGGAAGTTTCTAATTTTTTCAGTAGTTTAAAAGAATTAGCAACACAGTTTTAGTTAGAATCAAGTCAGGGAAACATGACCACCATGAGAGTTTAGGGATAATTAGAGGATTAAACCTACACAAGGAGGGAGAAGCTGGGCATGTGAAATTTGGAAAGGATAATAAAAGAATAGAATAATTAACCCACTAAGTAGCCTGCCTAAAGATCTGACAAGTTGGAGCTAGTAGGAAGACTTGACAAGCCAAGTTTGTCCAGCGGTTGAAGAAGGTCTCTCAAGAGAGGAGCTCATAACAAAGTCTATGGGAAGATCTTACCCCTATACAGATACCACATCTGATGGTGGACCTAAATGCACTGTTGGCCAGTGGAACCAGTGGTCCAGAGGAGAGCAACCCCAACCTGCACCTGCCAGGCACATCTGTGTCTGTCATAATTCCCTTCACAAAATAATCTCCAGAAACTTGCTTTCAACACTTTACCTCCACCTTCAAAATCTTAAACAAGGTGTTTGGTTTTTTTTGTTTGTTTGTTTTTGTTTCTGTTTTACTGATTCAGATCTGGCTCATACAGAAAAATGAATTCTGGGAAATAATTTTCAGGCTAACCAAGTCAATGATAGAATAATCCAACATAGGTAGATAGAAGAGGTTAAAAAGCAAAAAAGAAAAAGAAAAACAATTGGGTCAACCTGTGGCACGGTAGGCAAGGCAGCTGGATCCCACATGACCAGCTGCAGTTTGAGTACCAGGTCCAGCAGTTGAGGGACATGATGGGCATGTGTGCATATGTGGCCTAAATCTAACAGGAGTGAGAGATGGAGGGAAGGGATGTGTCACTAGTCTCCATGGAGAGTACTTTATCACCACCCATGTACTTACCCTGTGAGTACATGGTGTTCTTTGACAAAATTAAAAAAAAAAATTCCTAGATAAGTTTTAATTCAAAGGGAAGAAACTTTTATACAAGAAATGAATATAATATAGCATGCCATATGGTTCATCTCTGAATAATATTAACATAATCATCATATGACTATTTGGCATACTGATGTAATCACAAATCATAGCTTTGAATGGACAGGAGGGAGGAGGATACTTGTGTAGGAAATGAGATAGGAGATGAGATGTAAGACTTTTAAATCCTTATATTCTGTAGTAGGAATTTAAAGTATAATAAGTACAACTGAATCCTTTTTTTTAAAAAAAGATAATATAATCATGTTATTTAGATTTAAGTATGTATGTGCAGAAAATAGCAAGAGAGTTGACATTGTTTTTTAGGATAATGAGATAGGATATTTTTGTTTGTTTTCATAAGCTTTGAGAACTTTTTAAAACTATGTATTGGTAATATTTTACTAAAGATAAATTTTTTAAAAAAGCATTGTATTAGAAGATACACTATAATCATGTATGTGAAGAGAGTTAAAACTATAGGAAATTTCTAGAGAATTTTTAAGATATGATCAGTGGGAAAAGGGTCTGTGTTTAAATCAGTGAAGGAACTATCATAAGAAAATAGGTACGGATAAAAATGCCTTAAGTAATGAAGCATTTCTGATTCTTTAGGATGAAATCACCATAAATGGGTGCCATTTAACTTTTTAGGGAAGACAATAATTTTATCCAATCAATGAGTAAAATCTATTTACGACCCACTGTTTGGAGCTTGTTTAGTTTATCAAACAATGGCAGATTATCATGTACAATTACAATTTAATTCCATATCGGGGAAAGCGCAAATGCAGTTCCACACTACCATGAATCATGCAGTTGAGTTCCCCACGTTGAGGAAATTACAAGGGTCTGCACATCTGAACTGCAATGGATAAGTTTCATCCTGGGAACAACCACCTTCATGATAATGGTATCGTCCCTGTCAGGTAAGCTTATAAATTTATTTTTTTAAATATATTTTTATTGTTCTGCTAATAGCTCATCACAGAAAATTAAAATGTAGATTACTTAATTAAAGTAGCTACCACACAACTAGCTGACCCGTTGGTTTTTTTCTCTTTGCAATTTTGAGGATGATTTGTTAACATCAAACGTACTGTGTTTTAATTAAACTCAACTAACCATTTAGAGAACCCTTCTCATAGTGAGAATTTCAAATATGCAAATAAGTTGTTGAGACATCTGTCTTTGGAATAATCATAGACTTACCCTAACAGTGAAATCTGAGGTCAATGTATTTGAGATACATGCAGCAATTGATCAAATAATTGTAGGAAAATTTGGTCTCATGTTTTAAAATATTCAAGGGAATTATAATAACAGAAACAGGATTAGGATATGCTCTGAGAAGACAGAAATATTAGGTCATCAGGAAAGTCATGACGTATTTTTCTATGCAAAAATGTGTCATGATTTAGCTGACAACCCAATATTTCCATTTAAAGGCACTGATCAGGAACAAGTTACTCTCATAATTTTCTGTAACTCTTCCTCAAACCTTGTGATTAATAACCAATTTGATGAATATGTTCAGTGATTAACAATATCAGATTGTGACCTCTGGATTTTGAGTCAGTACAAGCATTTTTAGGATTATAGTCATTGGGCTAACCAACATTCTTAGAAAGACTTCAGAACATATTTGAACATACTGATGAATTTAAATTCTTATTTGGAAACCTGGAAGATTATGTATGAGAATATAGACTCTAAAATTCTGAGTTACAGTCCTGGGCTATTTATTTATTTATTCTTATTAATAATTATTTTCTTTTTAAAAATTATTTTATTTTATTTATTAGTTTTTAATTTACTATTGGGCATGTGTGCTCAACAGACAGCAACAGTGTGAGAGAGAGAGGGAGAGAGTGAGAAAGCAAGCTGCCAAGTCTGGTACTTCAACCACAGTTGGCCACATGGGAGTCCTGCACTTCAACCACCACACTGCCCATTGATGCCGTTGTTCCCTTTTATTAAGGATAAAATTGTGAAGTAATCTATAGATCAGAGAGAAGGCTAAAACATACATTTTGGGAGAACTAGAGTACACAAAAAAAGCAGAGAAAGCAAAAATAGCTGTTTGAATGGAAAGGATTTCCAGGTATTTTTGTTGTTGTAGTTTAAGAAATCAGTCTAGGGACCAGCAATTGGCGTAATGGCCAAGTCACTGGATTCCCACATAGTTGACCGCAATTCGAGTTCCGGACCCTGTGGCTTAAACTCACTCTGGTCGCGTGTGCGTGTTTGCCCAAGATCCCAACAGAATGGAGAAAAAGCGATTGCAGTGTGGCCATCCCCTTTGGGGGGGTGATTTCTCACTTTCTGTCTCTCCGTCTTTCTGGAGAGCGCACACACCCTATAGCAAAAACCTCTCCAAAAGAAAGAAAGAAAGAAAGAAAGAAAGAGAGAGAGAGAGAGAAAGAAAGAAAGAAAGAAAGAAAGAAAGAAAGAAAGAAAGAAAGAAAGAAAGAAAGAAAGAAAGAAAGAAAGAAAGAAAGAAAAAAGAAAGAAAGAAAGAAAAAAGAAACCAGTCTGTATTTCCTGCCATTTAATTCCACAGATACTCAAATATCTTTGCAGTATATCTCACCCCAGGAAGATGCCAGTGATCAACTATCTTGGGCTGGTCAGGATGCTCCTAATTTTGCCACTGTGTTCTGGGAAACCCTTCAGTCCCAAACAAGTTAGGAGTGATGGTCATCTTAATCTACATGTGTTTTCCTCTTAAGCTAATGTCAATTGAGTTTTGGAAACTGTCAGTCAGGAAAAGCCTTGATTAAGAAGACACTTTTAAGCCTCATGGAATTCATGAAGTGTATTGGATCCAAACTTCCGTTACATGTCTTACCTTCTGCTTTGTTCTATTATTTACAACTGAGTACGTGGTGCAGCTGTGGGAGAGAGTCACCATACACAGTGATGTATTCATTGTAAGTGATTGGAATGATCCAAGTTGAAAGGATTTATTTTCCAAGGGCTGGCTAATCATTAGAATATGTTGCAATTTCCAGTGTTTTCTGAGTTCTAACATTTGTTCACAAAGTTGTTTCAAAAGTGCAAATTTTAGGGAACCAGCAGTTAGCATAATGGCTATGTCACTGGACTCCCACATAGTCGACCACGGTTCGCGTCCCGGACCCGGTGGCTTAAAACTCACGCTGGGCGCGTGTGCGTGCGTGCCCAAGATCCCAAGAGGAGAATGGAGGAGAAGGGATTGCGGCGTGACCATTCCCCCTGGAGGGTGATTTCTCGCTTTCTCTATGTCTCTCTCTGTCTGTCTGGCGAGTGCACACACCCTATAGCAAAAACCTCTAAAAAATAAAATAAAATAAAATAAAAAAATAAAAAAGTGCAAATTTTATCAAGCAATTCATTGTACTAAATTAACACTCCCTTTCTTTTCACATACCCAGAATGAATGTTTAGTTCTCAGCCAGCATATCTGCTTCATTAGGGAATTTATGCTTTGTAAATTGGTTTTCCACCCTTACAATTATTTGACTATCAATATTTGATATAGCTTAACAGATGCATGGTCTGTAGTGAATGCAAGGTCAATGAATGCAAGGGAGGTCAGTGATAAATATTAAAAAGGTGAAGAGACCTGACTTAAGGAAAGACAACAGCAACTGCCTGGGCAGCAGCAGACAGACCACCCAGAGAGGCTGCCTCTCAGCTGTGGCTCCCAGACCCACACCCAGTTTGAGAAAAGAAATGATGACAGCCTTGTTAAGAAGCACAGCCCTCTCCAATAAAAAGACTGTCAGCAGCTTTGCAGATGGTCTCAGAAGAGCCTCTGATCTTATAAAACACTTATCTCACCTCAAACATCCCTAGGTTTCTACATCTTTATGGGGTAATCAGTGAATGAATAGTGGTAGCCAGGAAATATGACCTAATGGGATATCTGGTATCCATGGTATACATGCAGCCCTTCCATGAACATTTTACTTCATCTCCTCACACTGTTGGCTTAAAGATGGGATTATAGTTACTCTCTTTTGGAGGTCAGAGTTCTGTGGTCTTGCTCAGCTGGTTAAAACAACTGTTTTATTACTATTAGCTAATATTTATTGAGTGATTATATACTAGGCACTGTGGATTAAGCACTTAAAAATGAATGATCTCATTTACCTTCCCAGAACCACTCTGGGGTAAATAATATTGTTCCTAATTTATAGATGAGAGGATTTGGGCCCTGAGGGGTTATAACAACTTGTCCAAGTGAGGCCAGAATTCAAGTCTAGAGTCTAGAACCCATGCTCTTCTCCTCACTTTGACCCTGCGATCTAAAATCAATGTATTCAAATGCCTATTGCTTGAATTTGTTTGTACTTCTGAAATTTTGGCACTAATTTAAGTAGGTTTAGACCCTTGTCCTTTGAGCCTGTGCTAGTTATTTTCAAATGCCTATTGCTTGAATTTGTTTGTACTTCTGAAATTTTGGCACTAATTTAAGTAGGTTTAGACCCCCCTTTGAGCCTGTGTTAGTTATTTGAATGTCTGTCCAACAGACATTTCTTGGACATTTAATATGTGTCAGAAAGGCTATAGATTTTGAGGAAATACTCAATAAAACAGGCCACCTTTTCTATAAGATAATTAACTCTGTTTGGGTTTCTTCAGTCTTTCATCATTAGTCATGCAAGGGTGCTGTTTTTATTAGTACGTGGAGGCCTCTCATTTGTGAGTTGTGGGGCAAGACTAGGGGCAATGAGGCCTAAAAAGCATTGTCAAGAGGTCTGGAGTTTGAGAAACCTTTGATAAATATGCATAAGACAACAAAAAGAGACTTGTCAACAGTAAAAATGATCGGCGTGAAGGAGAAGGCTGATCCTCCATCTCTCACAGAGCACTGTGGGAGAGACTTCTAGAGTAATCCATTTGACCTCTCCTTGCCCTGGCATGGGCCCTTTCCCAGGTTTTCTGAGTTTAGGAAATGCATGGCTTACACCCTTCTGCATTGCCTCAGGACACTGCTGCCTGCAGGAGGATGCATTTGACTCTGCAGTTTACCCAAGTGAGGTCAGCTTGTTTGGGCTCCTATGTGGGGAGGCCTGTTGGTGTCCTGCACTGCCCTGACTGGTGAGTAAGTCTGCATTTCCAGAGATGAAGTGTCAGGTCCCATTATACATAAAGCTGATGCTTGTTCTCTAATGAGCTTTTAGGATTAAAAAGTCATTAATTTGGGACCAGCATTAATTCGGGACATGCTGTAATAGTTACGTGACTGAACTCCCATGTGGTCTACCACAATCTGAGTCCTGGACTCAGTGACTTAAAACTCACACTGGGCACATTTGTATGTGTGCCCAAAATCCTGAGACGAGAATGAAGGAGAAGGGATTGCAGTGTAGCACCCTTCCTGGGGGGGGTGATTTCTCACTTTTTGTCTCTCTCGCGATCACTCATGCCCTGTAGCAAAAATCTCTCTTAAAAAAAATCATTAATACAATCTTTCACAATTAATTATTTTTCTTAATTTTTTTCTGAGTTTGGGAAGGCAAAGAGGTGCTATTTATTAAATCTGAACAATTGGCAGAAGGAATCCATGGGCCCGTATCTTCTCTGAACCTGTAAATGATATATTAGAGCTGTCTGTCAATTTGCAAGCTCCCTTGGTAGAAAGACCACTCTATTAGTTTTCAGCACAAAATATGTATATTCAGAATCCTTAAAAACTCCCGTAAATATTTGTTAAAAAAAAAAAAAGAGAATGAGAGCTTCAGTTTTTCTCATTTGTAATAAGAGGCATTTGGATTAGTTTCTCGAGCTTTAACTGGGATCATCCCAGGATTCTGTGTAGTATGTATGGGGTTCAAACATGCAGGCAGGACTTCTGTTCGCAATAAACATAGAGTAACAGGAACCTAATTAACTGATATACCTTAAATATAGAAAAAAACTGGTTAATATATATGAAAGAGATCTTTC